CTTAAAGTGCAAAATTGACATTAACGGAGTGGGTTTGGAGACTGATAGTATATTCCATATAGTACAAAAGCTACATCAGACCAATAGCTGCCTTTGTTGTTTCTTCTACTGAAAGTCTTCTTAGCTCTATTTTTTAATGGAATTCTTGCCAGACTGATTATCTGTTATTTTGACATATTAATCTAGATTTTGCATGATCTCTTTCCAAAACGCATTCTGTGAAAATCCATTATGTCCCAGAACTGTTTTTATATTGAAACCAGCTTTTTGAAGATGATTTTTTTGAGCAGAGAAGTATTAGGAGATGTAACAACCCATTGTCTCCCAGACATTTTCTCTTTCCAAACGGAAACATCACATTTTCTTTGCTTTGTGGAGTTCTTGGAACTCTGTTACTGTTAGCCAGTTAGTAATGGAATGCCCACAAGCAACCAAGCTTAGAGAGCACCAAAATCTTTACAGAAATGTTCTTCTATTAGAACCACAGGGGTCCAATATTTCCTTATTTTCCCCATCTCACTAGCTTCTAGATCAGTGGTTCCCAACCTTTTTTTGATCATGCCCCACCTAAGCATCTTTAAAATCCTAATGCCCCCTTCCCCCATGACATATCATTCTTACTTTACTCAAAAAGTGAACTCTACTCACTTGGAGGAAGCCTAAAAGACCATTAACTCAATTTAAACAAGCTTCAACTTGCCCCCATTAAAAATCAAATTGCCCCCTTGTGGGATGTGGGGCCCACGTTGGGAACTCCTGTTGTAGATTCCTGTTTATACACAAAGCAAACCATCTGCAAAGGAAGATTGTTAGTCAACAGCTTATCTATTCTCAGATGAAGGAAATGTATAAATTTGTCTTTGTTTTTAAAAGCACACAGAACTGAGAAGTGTTAATATTCCTTTGCAAATAATATGTAATTTGTCCCCTGAAATAGCCATCCACAGAAAGCTGAACAATTGTGATAACACTGTAGATATATATGGTAATGTGAACACTTTGAAACAAAAACCCTGAGACAGATTTTTAAGCTTCTTTCCTCTGGCTCTGGCTGCTGTAAAACTTCAAGAAGCCAAAATAATAAAATGAAGATTCATAACATTTTAAAAAATTGTGTGAATGAAGATCAGCGAGAGTATCAGATCTGACATTGTCCTTGCTGTTGCTCAGCAAGAACCACAGAGCAGTGAGGTCTACTTATGCTTCAGAGAGAAGGTGGATTGGGATGAGCCAAATTTCAATAGTCAGAAAGTGCAAATTATGCAGTGTGCAGTGTACTCAAGCAAGAGTCTTTACAAAAGTCAGTCTTTTGAGATAGGCCAGACCAGAAATGAGGTTCTGCAAGGACCACTGGAACTCTACTGAAGGATATAGTAACAGAATCTCAAAAGCCTGACAATATGGCTCTAACTTCCATCTGTCATATAGCTTGAAATCCAGCAGAACTACAGGTAGTCCTTAACTTATGAACTACCACTGAGCCCAAAATTTCTGTTGCTAAGCCAAAAAAATTGTTAAGGTTTACGACCTTCCTTGCCACTGTTGTTAAGTGAATCACTCTAATTGTTAAGTTAGTAACATGGTTGTTAAGTGAATCTAGCTTCCTAATTGACTTGGTGATTGAATTGGTGATCACATGACCCTGGGACATTGCAACTGTCATAAATACAAGTCAGGTGATAGGCGGCTGAATTTTGATCATGTGACCATGGGGATGCTGCAATGATTGTGTGAAAATGGATCATAAAGTCACTTTTTTCAGTACCATTGTAACTTTGAACAGTCACTAAATGAACTGCTTTAAGTCAAGGACTATCTGTATTATTCTAACCAATAGGTCCAGCAGTGCACTCTTTCATCATTTCTCCAGTAATATGATGTAAAAAGATGTCTCTGGCGCAATGCATTTCTAGGCATCTTTCCGAGAAATATATTTTGCATAAAATTATTTTTATATGCTGTAGCCGATGAACAGCAATTTGATTTTTTTCTAGCTTGGATGCTACAATTTACTCTTTTGTAGTAGTCTGATGAAGAAAGCCTTTGAATCTACTTCTAGTGGAATCTGTTAGATTTAAACCTATAAAAAAATGATAAAATATACTGTATACTAATTCATGTTCACTGAAGCTCAGACCCAGATAGGATTAGGTTACTAAGTAATATGCTTCTTTATGCAAATGATCTGGATTTGAGGTTTATTTTTTGTTTTTCACAGATGCTAAAATTGTGTGTGCTACTTTTTATTATTTTGCAGGAAACTGAATTTTTGGATATTACAAGCATCCGAGACACTAGAGTGGGGAAATTTGCAAAGATTCCTAAAGTAAGTTTATGACATAATACATAAAAGTCTTCTCTAACCTAGTATCTTTCAAATTTAGGATACTTTGGCTCCTAAAATTGGGTGAACTGACTGGAAATTTAGAAATCAAGGAAAACTGTCCTTATATCTTTTGTGATAAACTCAAACCCAAAACTGTCACAAGCAGAAAAAAGGAGGAGGGTTTTGATTGTGCAGTTGTGAACTTCTTGACAGTTTTCGTATCTCCCTGGGATGCCCCTGCTCACTGCTATTTTATCAGCAAGTCAAAAAAGTAGTAATTTTTTCCCCATCCTTTGTAACAATGTGCATAGTATGAAAGGCCCTGTGCAATTTGAGATGATACGGAAAAACAACTTCCAGTCTAAAATCTTAGTAATCTTGGAATGGTTTTAAGTGCCTGCAGCTGTGCTAGAAAAAATAGGTTTTCCCATCTGGATCTTTCCCTTCCCATTATGTTCTCCCCAGCTCTAAAAATGCTATGCAGAAGGTCCTATAGTGCGGAGATATTTCTCCAAATTTGGCTATGACACCTTCTCTGTTTGGAGCTCTGTTCAGAGAAGGTTTCCCATATGATTTCTCAGAGATCTGAAAATAATTCTGCTAGCAGTCTGGCACAGTTTAATGCTAACAAATTTTAACAGAAAAGATTGAGATGACTGTGCCTCCTTTACGTGCCATGAAGAAACACAATATTGCTGAAGAAAGGAAGGAGATCAAAAGTATTGATTTTTAGAAGAGTCAAGCTTCTACTGTGAACTATTGTCCATTTGGGTTCAGTTCCAAGTGGGGGAAAAGACACTGGAAACATAGAGGCTGCTTGGAAAAGATGGTTTAATGGTGGACAGGACCACATGGGTTTCTTGGTCCTGGGAAATCTTTGTTATGTAGAATAGAGTGGCCCCGGCCTTAATTGAACATTGACAAAGGTGGGGGCTGAGTTTCTGTCTCCTTTTAGGGGAAATATTCTGATCTTTTTAATATTTCCTAAAATATTTAATTTTTCTAGGAGAGGAGTGGGTTGCTAACTTCCTACACTATCATGGAGGGAGGAAACATGTAGACGTAAAATTGGTGTGTGCAGTGTGTGTGTGTGTGTGTGTGTGTGTGTGTGTGTGTGTGTGTGTGTGTGATAGGCTACAGAAGTGTACTATTGCTAGGAGGCTGGGGTTTGCATACACTTAAATGAGTTCAGAAAAGAAAACAGATCAGATTGAATGGCTATAGCCAAAGTCTCACATGGTCAAGTGACATACGGCGTTTTTCACAATACTTGAAAGTGTAGCATCAGCAAGATCACAGCTTTACACTATTTCTTTCTTAGTGCCAAACAAGGACCAATTCATGTAAGCATGGCATTTCTTATATGTCTTTAACTATCCTCCTGATGCAAGAGCATTAAAATGGAAGTGTTCAAATAGTTCCTCCTTTTCCCAGAGTAACAATTGATGCGTTTAATTTTAAGACCAGTCATTGTAATGCTCTTCTATATTGAGCAGCAACTGCATTTTGGCTGAATGCAAATTAAAGAAGCAGAATGTTGAAAAGCGTTTTTCTTCAATAGCCCTGTGTTGGTTATAGCATTTAAAAGCCATTTTAGGGATTTGATAAGATGTGCAATAATATACACCCGAGAACCAAAATCAGCTTTCCTAACTCATCCTGAACTAAGAAAGAAAAAGAGGGGGAAATATTGAGTAAAGACTATTATTTTCATTAAAGTATTTGTTTGTGTTCAAAAAGCCCAATCCCATTTTGAATTTTAAAGCAAGATTTTCTCAAATCTCCTCACTTCTGCTTTCAGTTTTCCTTCTTAATGTGCTTTTATATATTCATTTCTAAATCTATCTTTTGCAGAATCACAAGCTCCGAGAAGTTTTCAACTTGGATTTTCCAAACAGCAACTTTCTTCACAAGATATTGACTGTGGTTTCTGGTCCTGATATGGTGGACCTCACATTTCACAATTTTGTTTCTTATAAAGAAAATGTTGGAAAGGTATTAGAAAATAAAATAAAAGTTCCAGACTTTAATGCATGCAAAACCTAACCAAAATAGCCACACAGTACCATATGTGAGTTGTCATTCTGTTTAAAGTGCTGGCATTAGGGATGACAGACATTGGTTTTGAATCAGCTTGGACATTGGTGTTGTGGCCTAGCAGAGCTGGCAGCAGATTCGGACAGTGAGGAAGTTGGGGAGGAACATGGGCTAGTCCTGGAGTCTGTGGAAGGCTCAGATGAGGGCTCTGCATCAGAGGCAGAGAGGCGATTAAGGCCATCTGGTAGTTATTTGCTGCCTCCGGAGCCGCCAGAGTCTGACATTAGTGAGGCAGAAGAACAATGGGAGCCTGTTCCCAGTGTGCGCATGCACAGCGCTGCCAAAAGGCAAGAACAATTAAGAAAACAGGGTTGACTTAAGAGTAAGGCTTGGAGATGATTGGCCCCTCCTATAAGACATAAAAGTGGAGTGAACAGGACATGAGCTTTTGCAGGAAGCAATTAGTTCATCTGGTCGGTTTAAGCTTTGAAACATTCTGTTTGACTCTGTGCTAAGTTTGCCCTTGCTCTGTATTTAACAATTAGGATTCTGGCAGCATTCCCAGGGAGGTTTACAGATGCTTTTTTATATGTTTGTGTGTGTCTGTGTGTGTTTCTTTCTCACTAAAATATTTCACAGAATATACCCATGGACAAAAATGGAACAATATGTGATTGTATTAAACGCTAAATAAACATAATATCAGTGTGATATTGTGGTTATGCTGATTACTTTCATATTCAAACCCACACTCAGTTATGAATTCCCTTCATGGCCTTGAAATACTCATGATATCTTAGCCCAAACCCACCTCACAGAACAAAAGGTAGTAAACAAAAGATAGCAGGAAGCACAAAACATATTGGAATAAACTGCCTTCAAGAAAACTTGGAATTTATATTTATTGACCTTCTATTTAATTTTGTTGTACAAAGTACAAAGTACAACAAAATAACAATAAACTAAACAAAACTAGAATATTTATTTTGACAATTGCCTAAGTATGAGTATCAAAGTGATCAATCATTTTAGATAGAAGGAAAAAGATGTCAATTGCTTACACTTAGTTTAAATACATAGAAAGTGAATGTCAATGATTCAAAAAAAAAATGGCACAGATTAGAAACTTGTCTTTAGAAAAGATAGCCATAATGGAAAATGAGTATTTATTCCATGTGGAAATACTGCCTGGCACAGCCACTCATGTACTGAAATGTAAATTCAAATTCAAAATTCAAATTTAATAAATTTATATGCCGCCCAATCCCGAAGGACTCCAGGCGGCTTACAGAAATACATCACTAAAAGGATAAAAATTAAAAATAGAGAAAGAAAAAGAGATTAAAAAAATCACTTCATGCACTCAATCTAGGCGGGGCTGGACCTCATTCATGAGGTCAACAGCCCCAGGCCTGCCGGAATAGCCAGGTTTTAGTAGCCTTTTGGAAGGCCGAGAGAGTGGGAAGGATCCGGATCTCTGGGGCTAGATCGTTCCATAGGGTCGGAGCAGCTACCGAGAAGATGTTACACTTCACAAGTTTTGGACTTTCAGCTTGTACTCTTGGCTTCATTTTTCAGAACTGGGCAGATGATATCATGGACTTCATTAGGAACCCCTTTATATACAATGCTTCCCGCTACACTTTCCTGGAGAAAATGTGAGTAGTTATTTACAAAGGTTGTATTTCCAAGTATTTCTTGACAGTTCTAGTAATATAGTATGGTGACTGAATGATGTTGAAAGCTGGTCATTTAAAAACACTAGAGTGTGATGTTGTCTTAGGAGGAGGGTCCATACTCTTCTCCTCCCTTCAAGAAACAAATAACAACAGTCAAATATGGCAAGATTTCTCTTCACGTGGTAGCTGATGAAAATCCAATCCTAGTAGCATCAACTAATTGAAATTCATCTTATTGACCATTTGGGACCATAGGCGAAAGAAACAAAGGGACTTCATTATTTCTTTGCTGGTCCCTGCTCTTCTTTCCTAAAGTATTTTCTTCCTTCTCTTTCTATTCCTCCTGTGAAAACCTAGAGATACTACAGGCTTGATACTACAATAGATAATTTTAATTGCCTTTTTGCATCTATTCTATGCAGCTTCTATTTTGGATACTTTAATAGGCTTGATTCTAATCACACAGGCTCCAGGCTCCACTTTCTGAGGGAATCAAACCAGAGTTACCTCACTTGTTTTTCCCTACAACGGCTATCTTCCTTCATTCTTTTTTGTCCCACAACTTTGTAAATATCATACTAATACTAATAAAAATCTATCTGTTCTGCCCTTTCCTGCAGCCTGGTTAAACTGAAGATGCAGCTGAATGCTGAGGGGAAAATTCCTGTCAAGAAGTGAGTATGATGTTCATAATGCTTTGGTCAATGATGCACTCATCATTCTGAGTGGGCCCTGGGTCATGGCAATAGCATAGGCTCCCATTGGGCTTTGGGCAAAGATGTGACCAGCTAACCTCTATTCCCAGTGTATATTTATTTAGAGTTTTTCAGATGGAATGGCAAAACCCCACAAAATACAATGGAATGTAGAGGTTAGTTGCACAGAGGGAGTATTCCATCTTAGCAGTTTGATCACACACATATACAGTGTCATTGACAACAAAGCATCACTGATCTATCATATTTGTGATAGATACATATTTAAATGCACTACTACTGTAGCAACCTTAGGAAGAACGAGTGATTATGTGTGCTCTCGTGCTCTTTCTTTTTCCATTGAAAAGGCCAATTCCTCAACAAACCTCCTTTTTCCGGCCTATCAGAGATGGGTTCCTACCGGTTTGGACCGGTTCGGCTGAGTAGGTAGTAACTAGGCCACTCACGCCCCTGAACTGGTTCTATCTTGTTTTTTGCTTCTGCGCATTCACAGAAGCAATTTTTTCACTACTGGGCATGCCGGCATGCGCCCGAAACACGTCCCTAAGTGAACCGGCAGTAAAAGAATCCGGAACCCATTCCTATGACCTATGGTTTACAAATTAAAACAGGTTTAAATCAAAGCAGATCAGAGCAGAAATGTGGCATAGTTCATAGGGGATATTCCTTCTTCCTGGAAATATAATTGTGAAATGTTTCATGAGAAATCAATTTTTGATCTGGTTAGCCTCAAGAGCTTCCTTATGTTTTCTATGCAGTGCTTTTATTGTGATGTATTCCATCATAGTGGCATCTTATATGTACATAGGCCATCTGCTGCCTCATATGTTGGTTCAGTGGTCCCTAGAATTATCCAAAAATCGTGCCTGCAACATTTGAGAGAAAGTCACAGAAAAACAAAAGTTTTGATTTCTTGATATCTTTATAGAAAAAAATGTGTTGGATATTTCAGAATTCCCTCCTCTAAAATAAAAACCCCATTCAGCTTCAGAAACACAGAAGTTTCAGCTCTATTCATTTTGGGAATGTGACTTCTCTGCCTAATATAAACCTTAGACATTGAAGCTTTGGAGTTTTGAATTCTACTCTGACATAATATTCTCCTTCAGTAGAGTTTTGTTTATTTTATTATTATAATGGTTATTCTTTATAGGCAGTTTTCCCACTAGAACATTGAAGTTTTCCACTAGTGGCCCTGTCTCTCTTTAATGTATCATTTCTTTCTTTTTCAGTATTTTTCAAATGTTTCCCGCGGACAGAAAAAGGGTAGAAGCAGCATTAAGTGCCTGTCATCTTCCACAGGGGAAGGTCAGTAATTTTTTTAAAAACATGTATATACCCCAGAACTCATAAACAGAATTAGAATTTAATCCTGAACATGGTATGTAAATCATGTAATAAACACAGATTTCCATAGACGGTTCATCAAAGCTCTTGAGCAAATGGTTTCGATCCTTCAGCCCAAAATTTTGCTATGTTGAACAGCCAAATCTGAAAAAAGGATTCTATGCAGCTTCGTCTGACAGGTCAGGAAATAAATGGGTAGAAACAATCTGTATGACATCACTGGGATTACCAAATTCTGTGAATATGTGCTCCTATAAAAATGTGCATATTTTATTTAGGCTTAATACTTTAATAAAGTGATTGCTGGTAAATATATTCATGTTGGTTGGTATCAAGAGTAAGGCATTTGATACAACCCGTGTATTGAAAATAAAGAGAGGAAGACTGTTGAACATTTAAACAAATAGTGAATTGGAATCTTTGGCAATCTACCAGTATCCTAGAGAAATAAAACTGTACAGGCAGTCCATATTTAGGAACTGCCTCGGACAGCAACAATTCACAGCTAATTGCATGATTAAAAAAACTAACTTTGCAACCAATGCCCACATTTACAATCTTTGCAGCATCTCTATCATGTGTTTGCCATTACAGTTAGTTTGTCAACTTTGAACCAAATCTGGCAGCAGCCATCTTCCTATTCCTCAGTTGCCACACAGAGGGGGAAGGGGGGAAGGAGGTTGGAATGCATTACTAGACATAACAGAGAGCTTTCTTGTGAGAACCAAGGTAATCTCTACTGGCAGGCAAGGAGTGCCTGGAGATCCAATTGCCCAACGTTTCCTGTGACACTTGGGAATGGGGTTATTCCCTATTGTTAATGATGCTGAAACCATGGGAGAGATTTAGAGTTGGTTTTCCTTTAGAGCTGTGCCAATATGATGTACTCAATAAAAAAGATCTTTGAGGAGGATTCTAGTCTAAAGTTCTGATTTGCTTGGGTTCATTAGTCGGAACCTTGACATAGTTAGTGCATATTGCCCTGTGTAAAATCATAAGCACAGTTAAAGCCATAAGATTTTTCACTTTGTAATCATTTTGGTTTTGTACCACTCTTCCCAAAACTAGTTGTGTTGGACTGAAGCATCACAAATTCTTGAATTGTGGCTAATAATTTTGGGAATCCCCCAAATTTTAGAAAATACCAGGTTACAAATGTCTGGTTATGTAATGCTCTTGCATGCAGCCACCAGCTTTACCCTCTAAACCCTCAGAAGCAGGTTTGCACTATTCCAGAAGTATTGTCACTACTGCCATTTTTGCAATGCTCAGTACTTCTCATAAGCTCAGGTGTGGGAAGAGAAGGGTAAGCCAAGCAATCTGGATAAATTGCAAATTCTCACTGATGGAAAAGAATTTGCTTCTCATTTGCAGTATTTCCTGCTGTGCCAGAATTAAATCGTAAGCTAATCATCTCAGTTAGAGAAGGTTTGCAACAAAACATTGAGGTAAAAGAACCACAACAGCATGGCACTTTTACAAACACTATAGGCAGTGGTGGGATTCAGCCGGTTCCGGCAAACCGGTTGTTAAAATTATGGCTGTCCCTGCCCCTCCCACCCCACCCCATCCCCCCTGCCCCACCCAGTCACTCCTCATCTCGTCCGCTTGCCTGGCATAGCTGTTGCTGCTTTCTGTCTGGCTCCCTGGTTTCTACCTAGC